ACTGGCAATGGGAGATAAATCACTGTCCCTTTGCATGCTTTTAAAGAGTTGTATATTGGGACTTTTGCAGTGTAAGTTTCCAGTCTAACAACAGTTTAGAAGCATATTGCTAGTTGAATTAACTGAGTACTAAAGGCATCTAGGCCTTTAAGCTGATCTGGCAAAGGCTCACCTTGCAAACCATTTAATACACATCTGTTAGGAATTCTATTGTTTTTTATTGTAGGCTTGCAATTTTTACACATTAAAAGCTGTTAGCTGCTATAATTTGGATCATAATCGGTGAGGAAGGCTTTCAATTGTCTCCAAACCTCACTCTCTTTGTCCTTATCAAAAACTTTCGCCAGATTGCTACATCTCATTAATCTTCTACAGCTACGACAAACATGCTCGTTATTGATCACTGATTTCCTTTTGGAACTCAGCTATCATGTTAACATTTTGTCTAAGTAGCTTCACTTCTAAGTCTGGATCCCTTAAATTTATGTCGCTATCACTCTCATCATATCTAGATGAGAAAATTTGGGCGACATCACTCTTTTCGTTGTTTGGATCAGACTCGGTTGCAATTTTAATCAAAGCATCCACATCTCCTTCACTTAATGCTTGATCTATTAGATTGACAGCTTCATTGTAATTTCTGGCTTGATAAACATTACGCAGAAAAGTGCGTAGCATTGGATAGTGAGGAGAAGCAGCTCTTAGCATTCTTAGCTTGCTTTTACATGTACTGTCATCCTCATAACAAGTCAATGGATGACCATTCTTTTGTGGATCATGCTCATTTGGGCAACCTATATCTATGTTTCTCAAAATTTTTCGAAATTCCTTAGCAGGTTTACTGAATGCTGCTTTTAAATCTTTGATTGTTTCGATTTGAAAATCTGTCAGTGGTTTACAATTATCAGTACATGCTATTTTTACAGTCCTTTTTTTAACCCTTTTACCACTGTCTACGTCGTTTTTGTCTTTTGTGTCACTAGTAACAACATGATCATTTTGTATGTCTTTTTCTGCATCTTTGCTTAAAATTACATTATTATCATCATCGAAACAACCATTGATAAGTTTTGCTAAATCATCATCGTTTAAAATTACAGTATCATCATTTAAAGTTGATGGGGCATCTTTATAGCATGCTTGGTAAAAGTGTGGCTCACAACTGGCCACGTGATACGAATCACCAAATTCCCCATG